TTGAATTTCTATTGAAAGGCTTTTGGAAGAATATTTATTGCTTCAATATACATATATTATATATATTCCATGCAAAACACAATAAATAAATGAAGATCTTTGTTAAACGCATTAAAATTTTCCGAATTCATAGTCAGTTTTGGGTTGAAAGATACTGTATTAGACCAATCCATATTAAATCAAAACATTTTCAAATCCAATTTTGTTAAACACAACTTTTTTATATTTTTTTTCGTAACTATTAAACACCTTTGTGATGACGCAACTCTAATTTTTTTACGACTAGTCTTGTTAAATTACTTTAAACTGCAGCAGGTACAGTTCAAACCAATTCATTTCTTAATTTTTAGAACAGAAGAAACGGTACTTCTATATTGTCTTTCTGTGCATACATAACTTTATTTATAGCCTTTTATCTTAACATATTTTATAAAAGTAACCAATCTACCCGATCTTAATGTATTTTACGCCGCTACTAGAATTTATGAATATGTTTATTATGGTGCCATTAATTTTCAAAAGTCGCAGAATTATCCGCGGCACCCCCAGATTGGTTCATTTCATTAAAAAAAATAATCTGAGTAAAATTTTAGTTCAAGTGGCGGAAATAAGTGGAAATGGCGCCCTGGGGGTCTTGGGCGTTTGGAAAATAACAATTTTTTCCATAAAATTCATATTTGATTGCTTATATCCTCGACATATTTAATTTCACATAAAAACTGTTTAAAAACATAAAAACTGTTAAAAGTTATAGATCTATTAAAAATAAACAATTCACTCATACAAAGATTTTCTGTATTTCTAATAATTATTGAATATAAGAAAAAAGTAGCTACAAGCACCCGATTGATAGGTTTGTAAGTGCTATGATTGTAATTGCCCGCTTCAGCTTTACACAAATTACTATAATTTAATATTTCTTCTAATAAATAGGTACTAATTCTGCTTTTCTCCGACATCAACGTTTATTTTTGTCCAAAACTTTTGAAATCATTGAAATAGTTCAACAGACTTTGAAATCTTAGCATGGAAAACACAGTCACAAACAATTTATGGACTAACCGCAAATACTGTGAAGTCGCTAGAACCTTTTGGCCTAGATGGCGAATTCCAACAAGCGGATTATGCAGGAGTTGCCAAGATGAAGAGGTGGTAGAATCTATCAACCACTTCCTTTGTCTCTCTCCAGGACTTCAGACAAGGCGATTTCAATGTCTCGGGGATCGCTTTTTCACCGGCTTGGAAGAGATAACGAAAGCAAACTTATCGGATCTCCTTAAATTCATCTGGGAAACCAGATGGTTTAACAAGGATTACAAAGGTAAGCAACTGGCCTCTCCCGGCAAAATTTTTTGAGGGCATCACAATGGGCAATATATGCCTCCGATAAATAATTAAATACTTTTATTTTATACAATTTTTTATTTTATTTATTTTAATTATTTTTTATTTTATTTATTTATTTTATTTTCTAAATATTTACATAATTTATTTTTTTCTTAAAAACAAAAACAAAGTAATATGTGACAATAGCCGTAATTTTTTCTTTCAGTTTACCAAAAAAAATATTCGCATCTTACGAAAGAACACATTTGAAGCAAAAACAATGCTTTTTAAATCTTCAGACTTAGGTTTAACTCGCTAAAATTTTTACGTCTAAAAGTTTAGAACAGCCAAACTCAAAAATCAATCTATTGTAAATGTTCACTTGAAATATGTTGCAAAATTCCACTCATCTGTTAAAATTATACAAGCATTTCATTTACCGATAAATAAATTTATTTAAATATAGAAGATAAAAATGCTTACCACTGCAATTCTAATATTCATTTTATTTTATTTTGTTTAATGAATTAATTTTTAGTGTTTACAATTTTTATATATCATATTATACACTATACAACCAAAAAAATATGTCAGAAAAAGCATTTGACATATTTAAAAAGTGCTGCCAATTTGTTTTAACCAGATTTAATGCAATTTTTTTACTCCCCTGAAAGAAAAAATTACGGTTAATATTGGAATTATTAATGTTTTAACTTAAGTTTGAGTTTTTCCATTTCCAAAAGTCGACGTTTTTTTTTCAATTTCGTCCTCAATGTTCCGTAATTTTAATTTCTCTATATATTCTGTTGTTTTAAATATTTCAAACTAACACTTTAATTTGTGGAAAAAAACCTGTGAGGATAAAATAAATAGTGAAAATTTAAATATATTCGGAAAATTGAACATTATTAGTTACTTACACATTAAATTAAACTCTTTTTAACTCTATTTTAACTAGTCTCCCACAATGAGGAAAGGAAAAAAATTCCCTTCCCATTTCAGTTAGAATAAGGGAAATGGGAAAAAATTCCCATTTCATTTAGAATAGAGCTGCATATCTTTTCTAGTGATCAATCCTGGATGTTTTTTTTTTTTGGAATCAACAGCAACAACAATACGTTTAAAATCTTGAACGAAATCACGTTTTTCTTTATTATCAGCTTTCGAATTGCTAAGAGCCGCTCTACATTTCCATTAAAATAGATTATTTGCTTGATGTGTGAGTAACAAGTTTCAAATGTCAACGCGATGCAGCAAACGGCTTTTTAGTGGTCGCTGAAACCAACTATCAAATTAAATCAAAACTAACAAAATTGTTTCTTTCCCACTGTTTTGCTTGAAATACCATAAGAAAACTAGACTATCTCCAGATAGTCAGTTAATAATCTTTCTTTCCTTTACTTAATTGTTACTCTGCACTATACACTGTAGTTACATACAAAACTATTTCACAAAACACCTATTCATAAATGGTTCTTTGTCCAGCACAATGTGGTATAATTCCATTATCATATTATAATGTACCTTAAGATCGTCCTCTCTTACAATAAGGTAACTCTACTGCTACCATCTATGCTTCAGCAATGTGCAGTTCGCGTTTAAATATTAAAACATCCTACTTAACATCCTACTCTTCACCTTATTGTAAAAGAACTTTGGTGTGTAATTTCTCGGTAAAGAAAACTGCTTCATTTTGTCTCCTTGCAAATGTTTTTACTTTGCTTCAGCTCAACATTATTCGAACTTTTCCACCTTATATACTCGTATCAAGTAGAAAACATAATTTATATCTTGTATCAGAGATAAAAGATATGTATAACAAAAATTTGCTTTTATAAATTATTTATTTTGATTCGCAATTAGACGTTCACAATATACAAAGTTAATTTTTCTTTTTTGGAATTACTAAATAGTTTTAAATAATTTCAAATAATTAATACAATTATTGATAATACATTAGATTAAAGTTAAAATATTTAATAGGAAGAAAAAAACAAATAATATTTTCAAAATATTTTTAAGAAATTATTAAATATTTTAACAGATATTTTCTTAATACGACTATATTGTATTTACTAAATTACTTAAATTAAAGTTAATATGTAAAATTTTTAAAATTATAAATATAATTTTAATTTAAGTTTAAATTATGTATGTACTATTTTTTGTTTTATGTAATTGTATTTACAAATGATATAATGCATTTCTTTAAAGTATAACAAGTTACTTAATCACGTATATAAAAAAATTTATATTTATAAAAATATATAGTTTTATTAAATATAATAGAAATTTTTTTTGAGAGCTTAACACATTAAAAAAACCTAGAAGTAATAATGTGGTTTTAATTAATGTGAGTGTTTACAGAAATGCTATAAAAACATTCCTGAATTTGTCAGTAACTTTGTTTTTGTGTTTATGTTATTTATAATTATAATTTACATAATATATTAATTTTTAATTTTTTTATATGTAATTGTCATCAATATTTCGAATATCATCGATGCTTATCATCAAAATTAAAATAAAATATATAATAACAATATATACAAAACATATGTAAATTCAGTGGTGTATACAAAAGGTAAGAGAGCGAACTGTTCTTTAAAATATATTTCAGACATTTTACATTAGCACTATTATATTTTTTTATAAAATATTTTCATATCAACTCTTCGAAAACCCCCCTTAAAAGAGTCGCTGTGACCATTCTTGTATAAACTTAATTAACATAAATACATTAAATTTATTTATGCGTTTTATGCTTATTGTTATTATATATTGTTATAATAGTTTATTTAATAGAATAGTTTTAATAAAATTTTTTTGACTACTGGAAAAAGAAAGAATTCAAAGTTATCATTATTTCGCAGTTTTCATGTACAGGATTTTTAGTAAATTTTTCAACTTTTTCATTTTAAATTAATTCATATAGTGGAAAAACTGAGCAATGTGTTTTTAGCATTTCTAAATATATATTTAAAGTGTGTGGTACAATGTCTCTATTAATTTCTCTATTAATTTCACATTTCTGTTTTAATATTAAAAGCTTATTGATTATAAATTTAAAAAGTTGAATATATTATATCAATAAGAAACTCTTTTATAACATTTATTTACAACAAAGTTACTTGTTTTATTTGCTATTATATTGAAATTATTATATTGAATTACTTAATATTCATTTATATTCCTTTGGGAAATAAATACTATCAATACATCTATTTAACCCAAAAGTTTATATATTGACTCATTTACTTAATTATATAATTATATAAATATATATAATTATATGTATATAAATTTACAAATAAGACATAACTCTCATCAATGACCAATATTTTAGCAGTCATTTTAGTTTACAACAAAATGTTATAACAGCATTATTTATGTTGAGAATTTTTCATATTAAATATTATATTAATACTTCTATCTATACGCAAATAAAAATATATAATAATTTTTAATTATATACATAATTCTATATGTTTTACATATTTTTTTAATGTGCTTATGCTACACCAAAATCAATAAGTTAAAGCGAAATTATAGTTTTGGCATAAAGTTCAATTATTTCTGCTTTATCTGCAACAAAGTGTTTAAAAATAATTATATTTGATTTTTAATCAAATTTAATAAAAACAAATAATTTAATAATTAAACAAACTTAAAAATGTACAAATTTTAAGCAAAAATATACAATTTAATTCCTAACTAATTGCAATGGCATTGAATTAAAGTCGCTCCAATTGTCGAATTATTGCAGCGTCCACAGTAACAAATATTTTGTTACGTGCAATTATCACTTATACTTAAATTCGTTGACGTTGTTGTTGGTGTTGCTGTTGTTGTTGTTGTGTCTGACGCTGGTGTATTTGTTGTAGATTCATTTATATTGGTATGCAAATTAGAATTGGTATTTGATTCGCTGTTTCTATTTGAGGTTACACCGCTTAAATTTGCATTTGTTGTTGTGTTTGTTGCATTGGATCTTGGATCATTATCATGTTTCCAACGATTTAATGCTGCTTCACGTTCAATGGCATCGAAATACCAAACAGTTATGGCATAACGTGTACGATGTGCAGGTTGTACTTCATGTGGATTACGATGATCTGACCAGAAAAATATGAGTCTATCGAACTTTGGTTCGATATCTGCTATTGTTTGTCCTCGCTCAGGAAATATTCTGCAATTAGAAATTATTTTAAATTTATGAAATTATAAAAAAATTATTCAAGATTTTACCTCAGTATTCCACCGCTACGATTTGTATCCCAATTTACATTTAAATAGTAAATAGCTGTTATAATACGCCCATCTTTATGAGGATTGTCTACGTGTCTAACGTAGTGTGAGCCTGAGCCAGGATAACAAGCAACCATAGCCTAAAAGAATATTAAAATTAATTCAATATTTTGATATAAAACTAACTATTATTGTGATACATAATATACGTACATTTGTTAACCTATTCTTTCATATCTTTTTTTTATATACTGAAGATGTTTACTATCTAATTGCAAGAGAATTTTAATTTTTTTCCTGTATCTGATGATCAGCAAACAAAAAGAAATAAATCTAAAAACGTCTCGATAATAGATATTGCGGCTTGTGATTTAATGAACACTTGTTACTATTGAGTTTACTATTGTGAGAATTGTGTTTTATTATTATTATTTTTATTGTTGTAACTTTTTGTAGGCCTCGGTGAATTTTTTAGAGGTGAACATTGGCGTAGAATATTGGTTAGAAAAACGATAACATATGAAAAAGTTGGGTGGTAAGGTAGACCAGAGCCTGTATAAAGGATTTAACTTTTAAAAGGATTTAACTTTTAAAAGGATTTAACTTTTAAATGATGAACCATTTTAGAGGGACAGATTGAATATAAAACATTAGAATTGGGATATGATTTTCTATTAGATAAATAATGCGATAAGAAAAAGGGGCGATGGAAAAAAAAATATTGTCTATATATCCAAAAACTAACATATATTTGAAAGTCAAAAACCCTGTCTCTGTTTGAAATCACATTAGTGTGTACAGAAAGGGACATAATTGGCGATAGAGCTTGAAATTTATGCAAGAGTGGAAGAAGCAATCCGTGACAAGTAACGTTTAGCAAGTGGTTACATATGATATAAGGAAAGAAGCGTTGTAAAAGTTAATACAGAGATATCAAATATAACTTATATTAACTTTAGAGAATCTCAACAGTGCACACAGGAACATCGAATTCACACACGAACGAGAAAACAACGGCTGCCTACCATTCTTAGACCTACTTACACAACACAAAAACGGCATTTTCGAATTTAGCATCTATAGAAAACTAACGAGTACAAAACGTGTCATAACCAACAATTCAAATCATTCATTCCAACACAAAATAGCTGCCTTTCATCACATGATACATAGAATGCTCACATTACCCCTTACACAAGCAGCCATCAATGAAGAAACCTCATACATTAAGGAAATAGCGGACATCAACGGATACCCTCAGAACACCATCGATAGAATCATAAAAAAGAAACAAAGGCAGCTACATTCCAGGAACGTGACGACGTTGACAGCAGAAAAACCAAAACAAAGAAGAGTCGCCGTAGTATACAACAACGCCGTCTCCAAAGGTCTAAAATCCAAGTTAAAAAAGTTCAATATCGACTTAGTTCACTCCAGTAGGCCACACCAACTCGAAAGCCTATTAGCATCCAATGTGACCCAATGTGGCTCCTGCAACAAAATACATCGGACAAACAAAAAGACCCTTACCAGTAAGACTTGAAGAACACAGAAAGGAAGCAAGAGAAGCACCGAAGAAAATAAACCCCCACATAAAATCAAATGTCGCCAGACATGTAGTAAAGGAAAATCACCACATCAACAGGGATAACGCCCAAATAATAAAAAATGTAAGGGATAGCTGGAAATTAGAAACAGCAGAGAGCATCGAAATACATAAACATCAGGCCACAACTTTATTCAACGGCGATAAGGGAAAAGTATCATCATGGCTTTTTAGATACATCCAAAAACACCAACAATGTGACAATAAAACAAAACCAGTCCAAACCCCGCCACCATTTCTTACCTGTCACCCCCCAAGCACAATAACCCTACCAAAATTAGTATTAAGAAATAACATGTAAATAGTATAAATAGTTTGTAAGATTGCTATATTTTTTTAATATTAGGAATTCTCCTAATGAAGGCAAAAGCGAATTTGCCGAAACACGTGTAGGGATACACAACATAAAACTTTCGAAATAGAAGTTAGTATATTCTAAAAAACAAAAATAACCGCATTTTTTATTAAGAGTCCGAGCCCGTATTAACTTGATGAGTCGGAGCTATTAGTAGTTAATTGAACTTAGATTAGTATACGACGTAAACAACATCATAGGAGATATAACTTGCAATCTAAACTCATATCAAGAATGGAAGGAATAATTAACAATAAATAACCGTTGAAAGTACCTAATGGAGATGCGGTTAAAATTAAAATACAATGCCGACAAAAAAATACTGCATCGGTATATAGCATTAATAGCCAGGTTTCGACGTTATTTGCTTTTTCACGACATATTTTTTGGTTTTGTGGTACTTTGTTTGTTTTAAAATTGTTTTTTCATTATTCAACTATAAAAAACAAACTGGTTAAAAAAACAAACAACAAAAAAATAACAAGAATAAAAATTTTAATAAAATAATAATAAGCGCGCTTTAATGCCAAATTAAGTGTAACCTTTATTGTACATTATTTACAATAACAGCTCTTTTTTATAAAATTTTTCAATATTTCCATCCTTATTTGTAATCAATTAATATAACACTTTTTAGTCCTTGTTTAAGTGCAGTTAGCAAGCATTTTGTTATTAATTATTATGTTGAGGCTAGTTGAGTCAGTGCACTTGAGCACTTTTACTCTTTATTAATTGCGATGTTTCTTCAGAACCCCTCTCTACGCCTTGACTGGATTATTGTATTTAATTTAACCGTAAAAATATAAATAAAACTAAAAAATTACTACAGTGCACAAGTATCAATATTTAAATATGGAACTGAAGTTTAAATATTTATTTCAAAACAAATTTACCACTTTTCGAATTTTTTTAAAAATCATTTAGCAAATTAACACATTTGTAATATAGATTTATGTTAAGCATAATTTTTTTTTTATCAATTACTGGTCATTTTTTAATTTTTTTATATTTATACTTTATCTATTTTTTTAAGAGCCTCTTAGGATCCTTCATGGCGAACACCCTAACACAGGTAAGCTGCTCGTAAGATTTTGGAAATTAATAATAACTTCAAATGTTCTCAAACCGCACAAGTTGGATGTAACTGTGCTCTCTATAAATAACCGCAAATAATACATTGATAACGAGGTGGCAACAGAATGATGAGACAGCGCTAATTCGATTTATGGAAAGTCAGCACTTAAACCAAACAACCATTTTTGGAACAACATTAACATAAACAATTTTCGAATTTTTTTTTCGCGTGCGTTAACAAATTTTTTGTCATAATTCACAACTCTATCCACACACAGTTTATTGTGACAAAAAATCTAAATTTCTTTATTTAGCAAACATTTAATTATTAACAGCATATTCAAGTATACATATAGTATATATAAAATATAATATTAATGTTTTTAACATTTGCGATAGTTTATATTTTTGAGATTCAGACATAAAAAGTAGGTTAGACTCAACTCCAATTCTATTTAATCGATAGGTCCATATAGGGTTTTCACCTACCATGGTGTACGTGACATTACAAATTTATCTTATCACATTTTTTATTTGCAAAACTGTTTTTATCCGTCCATTGCGTTCATAATCATAACATTATGCTTTTTTATAACGTACTACATTTTTATAGTAGCTTAAATTAACATTAAGATATGTTATCTTTATTATTTTTTATATATTATTTTTTAAAAGATTATTGTTTAATACAATAAAATTACGATTTATTAAATATATATTATTTATACATATTTTTTGTGTATAAAATTTTTTGAATTTATTTATCGGCGCGTTTTTTTATAATGATTTTTATATATTTTTGAATCCAGCTATAGGACCCTCTTTGAATAATAATTTAACGTTTAATATTTTTATTATATTCTATATTTTTTATGTATTATGTATGACCTGCTCTTATATTTAATTTAAATGTGTTAACTTTGTAATTAACATTATTAAAATTTTAAAATTCAAACATTTGGTATTTATTTTATAATTGCTATAGTTTCTGTAAATTATTCTTCAATTATTTGATTAATTAAAAATAATTATATTCCAATATATTTCACTAATGATGTCATTTTTACAATTTAAATAAAATTTTGATTATACTGATGCTAAAATTTTTTTATTAGTATTGACTCAGAAACGTCTTAGAATTTTGTCAAATTTTTAGAGTTTTTTTTTTATTTTTATACCATTCACAAATGCTGTAAAGACGATAACTTGTTAAGTTATTTAATTTAAGATTTAAATTTGTTTTCTTGACTTTTATTTTTTGTTTTTTTCATTGGGAAGACGAATAAATTAATATTCTTAAGCTATTAACTGTAATGCAATTTGAAGAATCTTAAACAAATTTCAGAATTGTTGACTGAGGATTTAATTGAAGTCGCGTAATACGGGATGACATCAAAAAATAACTATAATTTTCTAATTTATCTTAAGTCATGAATTTGTGTATTGGTTGCACTGCCAATAATATACATGTTAGATATCTTCAGTTGTAATGCTTAGTTCGATTATATCGAGTGAATGAGTAAGTAGTACTCTGATGTATTAAGCGAAAAAGGTTACATGGAATTGAATTAAAAACCAAATGAAATGCAACAATCATTAAAAATATAAAATAAGCTTTTTGGCGACGTTACTACGTCAAATTACTACAAGTTCATCTATGTTTAATGTTTTTGTAACTGACAAGAGCGCATAAATTTTGAATTCGGAATCCTTTAAAGAAAAGGATCCTTTTACAAATATATCTATTGACTCACCAAAATTTTAATCAGGTGAACTGAAAGTTTTGTATTTGGCTACATAATAACATTAAATTATGGTATTTTCATATATCAAATTTTAATATAAGTTCGTTATGAAATTATAGAAGAAATGATTCATATTGTATCTTCTACTCTGCCCAACCACAAATTCACTCTATCAATAAAAATTGTTAAAATACTTATCATAAGAGAATAAACATAAATTATTCATTTCAAACTTTAATAATAATGAGTATTTAATAAAACTTTGTAAATAGTATTAAAACCTTGATTAAGCCAAGACTAACTGATTGTTTATTAAAAAATATACGTTGAAAAATTAATATACATTCACATATTTAGCTCTGATTTCTCAGCATAAAATTTCTTGTTAATTTTATTTGAGAACTTTAATGTGAGTCATTTTTAAATTTACACTATAATAAAACATTAAAATATATAAATAAAACAAAAAAATAATATATAGAAAATATTCTTAAATAGCTTCTATTTAAATAATTTACTTAATAATTATTAAAAAATATAGAAAAATTACTGTAATATATTTTCAATGTACTAGAGTTTCATAATTATCAGAATAGTGCACTGTATATTATTTGATTCATTGATTTTTAAAGTATTAACCGAGACCAAGACTATATTAAGTGTTAACCTCCTAAGATGGTATTTTTAATTATATATTATTAATTTTTTTTCTTTTTTATTCAATTTTTAAAATAGTTAACTAAAATTCTCAATAAAAGTCTGTATTTAAATACTAGTAGAACATTGGAGATTGGCTTGCTTTAAAAAACACGAAATTTACTTCAATATATAATTTTAAATTATAATAGTAATAAATTTTATTCTGCGCACATATAAAACGTAAAAAATAATAACTTTTAGGTAATAAAATAATAAGGAAAATTAGTGTCAAGTACATACCTTCGTTCTCTCCTTTATATTACATTTTCCTAATTCTCCATTATTAAGCATTGAATTTGCATTACAAATCACAGCATCGATCTAAAGAATAAAACATATTAAAAACTATATTCAGTTCAACATTTCTCCACAAAACCAACCTGATTTATTAAATATCCAACGTTTGAGCAGCCAGGCTCTACACCTTTTATCCACGCTATTTTATCACCACGTATTGTACGAGAATCTTGTTCTCCAACCGTGTTATTAACTAATTGACCATCCTATATATATGTTAAGAAGTAATAATTAAATAACAATATAAAACAAATTTAAACAAAGATTAAATTTACCCTGAATTCGCCTGCTGCGTACAAGCGATGTACTTCATTTAGGACACTGAGACCCTTCTCATTGCCCAAAAAGTCATCTACAACTGAAAGACCATATTGATTCATGTCATTAATAATATTGCGACATAGTTCTTCATAACGTCGTTCACTGAAAAATAAAACGTAAAAACATTAAAAATAGTTCAAATACATAAGGACATGTTTAAAAATATTTAAATATAAATACAATATCATGTAAAAAGTTATTAAATATTTTTTGTAAATATAAGAAACTAATAATATATTACAACAAAACTTAATATAGTTATTATATAGATATAATAAAGTTATATACTTGCTTTGACTATTAGAATCTAGATTTAGGATTTAGAAGCATACTATATATAATTAAATAGTTTATATTAAATTATTATTTATTTTTTATTATTTAATTTTTTCTTTAAATTCATATATATTTTTTTTTATAAATAAAAAATAAAAAATTGTAATATATATAATTAATTGCAAATATTTAAAAATATAATAATAATAAAATTAAAAATAAGAATTGTTATAATAACTTTGTCTAGAAAGTACCTTTAATTTGTTTTCAATTCCAATAAAAACATTATTAATTAATGAATAATTTATTTAGTTAATATTTGAATATATTATAATTATAATTGAAAATAGATTGGTTTGGAACAGTAGTGAACTACAACAACAAAAACAATTTTTATATTATTTTAATTAATTGAATTTTTGGCTGATCATACAAAAATAATTGAAAATTATTATTTGATAATATTAAAATTATAATAAAATAATTTTATTAGTTGATAAAAAATAAATTAATTGTTGAAAAAGTAACTTTAGTTTCAATTCCAATTTAAAACATAATCAATTAATAAATTAATTACTATTTAGTTTATATTTAAAACTATCACAATCTTTAAGAAAATTAATTAATTATTATAAAATAATTATAAAAATATAAAAGAGTAATTAAATGTCGAGAAATGAACTTTAGTTAGTTTTTAATTCCAATGAAAGCATTATTAATTAATAAATAATTTATTTACTTAATATTTGAATAGTCATAGTATTTTAGCTTTATTTTACTTCATTTTTTAAATATGTTTTATTAAATATTTTTAAATATTTTATATATGTATTAGATGGAAATTTATAACAATTATAACATATTATATATATGGAGATTACAGCTATGGCCGTATTTGAATATATAATAATAATAATTGAAAATAATTATTTGATAATTAAAAAAATATAATAAAATAATTTTATTAGTTGATAATAAATAAATTATTTGTCGAAAACGTAACTTTACTTAATTTGTTTTTAATCGCAATTAAAAATAAAGTTAATTAAAATAATTTAATCGTTTTAAAATTTCATTTTGTTAAATTAATATTAATATCTCGACAAGTTACCATTTTTTTTTAATTTTATAAGTTTATATTTTAACCTTTTCCACTGTTTTATTTTTTACGCAAATCAAATAATATCAAATTTTTTTTTTCTACAAACATTTAAATATATTTATATGTATATACTTATATATGTTTAAAGAATATATTACCGACGGCACCGCTTGTTGTGCAAATATTGTTCAGCATTCGAAGGATGTGCTGAGCGTTTGAGAGTGCGGGTATGATAGTCAGTGGGTGCTGCAGTGGTGACCATGTTGCCGTTAGAGTTTCTTAGCTTTTAAGACGAGAACTGCACAAATCAGCAGTTAAATTTTGAATATTCAAAATAATAAAATAAAAATTTTAGCAACGTAAAAAAATTTAAAAACTGTCAAGAAAAAAAAACCGCACCGCACCACTCTTGTTACAAGGTAAGTAACTTCTTTTAAATTTATTTCTTTGTCTATTTTTTTTGTTTTTTTTTTTGCAATATTAGTTACGGTATTTGCTTTAATGTTTACTTTTCCATGTTATCAGTTTCAAATTTTATATAGTTTTTTTTTTATTTATAACTTTTTGTGATGTCACTCCTGTGTTCAATAGAAATATGCACATAGAAATATTTTCGCACTTAAGTTTTTTCTTATATATAATTGCGTACTATTTTCAAATTATATTTGTATATAATAAAAATGCACATATTTTTAAAAATAAATAATTTAGTTTTCAATATTCAATTTTTTTTTCTGTCTAACATGCGACTTCAGTATTCTCGAACCGCACACGTCCAGCGTTTGAATTTGAATGAAGAAGCAATCCGAATTTCGAGTAACCAAAATACTGCAAAGTGAGTGAAGACGAATGGTCTACGTATCAAAACAAACGTAGATACGCGACCGACACAAGCGGGCGGCATTCGTATAAAATGTAAACAATTGATTTCACACCAAATGCTATCCAAATGCTTTATTTTCGTTGGCGTTGCCACGTAAAACAATTAAATATTTCAAATAATGTTTAAAATATAAACCCACACAGTTATAAGGGGCGTGTGCGAGTTCAAATAAATTGATGGTAAATTAAGGGGAAATAGTAAATTATGACGGTATGGTAGCGAATGTTGGTATTTACCAGAATTTCGAGTAGGGTAAATTAGATAAAAATTTAGGTAAATTAGGTGTTACCATTGTGAAAATTTTATAAGATGTTTAATTAATAAATTTGAAAACTTTTAACCAAAAATAATAAATAAGTGCAATAAATAAATATTTATATAAGTGCAGTACAAAAAATCCCATGGAAATTTATACTTACTTTACCTTATTTCACCCGGGCTCGCACACGGCCAATATATTCAAGAACAGCTTGTGTTCTAATAAAGATTATTTATTACAAGAATTAAGTAAAACAAATACTTAATTATTATTCTTATAAACCGCATGGTTGCCTTACATTTTTGAATATGGCATATTCAATGAAACAATTCAATAGACCTAATTGATTTGGCTTAGACCTAATTAGTTTTTTCTAGACCTAATTGATTTGTAGCAAATCTAATTACTTTGTAATATATATTGTGTCTTATAAAATATCTTCAAAGACCATTTCAAAAGACAATATATGTTTCGTATATAGTTATCAGTACATGCATATAAATTGTATCTAATTAATTTATGTATAGAATGATATTGAGAAGAACAAAAAAAAAAATTATACACTTTGTTTATTATATTAATCGAAATCATGGGCACCCATATCGAAAAATAGTACTATTTCATTTCACTATAAGTCTATGCAAACCTAAACGCACATTCACACTGTCTCATATGATCTCATTATCAATAAATTAGCTCATTTATGGCGAAAAATGACAAATACAAATCGTAAAATTAAATTTTAAATTAAATTTTTTGGAAATGACCAAAATTTGAGAAAAGTGTCATGTCTTATATGTCTTATATGTAAAATGTAAACAAACAACAGCAGAGTTATAAACTAAGACACTAAAGAAGTAAGTAATTAATAAATTTTTATTTTTATTAATTGAATATGTAATTGATATATAAAATGTTTATAAATTATTTAAAATATCAATTATATATATAATTTTTTCTAAGATATGTTATTAAGTTCATAAAAGTTCTATTAGCTGCATACATGAGTTCATTATAATGTGAACGTTCATTATAATAAGAATATTGAAAAACTAATTAGAATTAATTAATTAATTTAATTAGCCAGTAATAGACTTAAACTGTAAACCGTAATTATATTAGCTCCACACATTTGTGAATAAGGATTTCATTTTATTTTATATTCATAGTTTTGCTATATGTATAATATAGACAATATAGCTGATAATATTTTGAATAAATATATATTTTGAATGAATATTTTTTTACTAATTATTATTGTTTTTTAAACATTAATGTGGAAAGGTTTAGGCGTTGAAATCATTAACAAAAAAAAACCTTAAACATACAACTAACATTTTTTTAGTTTTTTTTACCTTCTTTCTTACGATAGGATAATGAAAAATACTATGAAAATGAAAATACTCAAGCACATGTTCAAAAGAAGATAATATAATTTCTAATGGATATTCCTCTTAGACAAACTTATGATACGCTTTGATTTGATACGATGACCATAACACGATTGAAATCTATCTATTTACCATTGGGTGGAATGTATTCAAAAGAACCTTATATAGTTTATGATGACTTATAGACAAGATCCACTTAGACTAGGTGGTACATTGTGATACCAATTAAGGCTATAAGATAATCTTACTGTTGTTACAAACTATTTCGGGTCTACGAAAATACTTAAAAATTTGTTCTTAAGTTCCTTATGTAGTTTAAAATCGTTTTTAAAAACGTATAATCCTAGACAACTAAATTTATGTAGCAACAACAGTTTAAATGACTTTCACTTTATTTAGCATTCTTATAATTAGGTTACATATTATTGGAGGGAAAGTCGAATATTTTTGCATATTTATCTATAATACAATAAGCCGGAAATAAGACCAACTTTATTCCAAGTATGTTTTATGACAAAACCAAAAAATTTTATTTAAAAAAATGTAGTTAAAATCAGATTATATAGGAATAGTCGTTATTCAAATTAATTTTATTTGGCATTCAATTCATTATATACAACTCCAATATTTTTGTCGATAAATACTTGCATTATCTCATCTTCAGTAGAATTAAAATTTTTATTTTAAATGACGTTAGTCACATTCTTCCTTAAGTAATCTGTATTAGATTGAGAAACAATGACTTTACTATACACAATATAGACGAAAATTATTGTAAGAATTATTTAAATATGGAATCAGAGATGTGATGAATAGCCATAAGTTCTGGAAACTAATAAAATTTTATCTAAGGAATTATAGCAATAAATCATTATCTTGTAACAATAGTTGGATTAGTAGTTAATAGAAAGTGAAATCACGTTATAACAGATCATATCATCACATTTCTAATATATAGGAGTCGATATTTTAAATACCTATATAAATATATCGACGTATTTATCACGTTATTTTTAAGTTTAAAAGTATTAGAAATACGGTAAGACCATAGTATATTACTAGTATTTATCACGTTATTTTTAAGTTTAAAAGAATTAGAAATACGGTAAGACCATAGTATATTACTAATTATATCAAAATCAGCTACTACAGTTATCATATCAGAACTGAAGTGTTCATAAGCAAAATATA